ATTGTAGTAATTGCTGCGGGCTTGCGTGCCACAGCCACCAAACATTTTCTGTGGAAAATGTTTTCAGTGCCCTGACATTCTCTAATGGAGATCATCGGGAAGGGAAGCAGCTTTGGACTGCTTTGCCACTAGTTACAATGTTGCATGTCTTATGCATACCAAGAGAACAAACTGCGACCATGTACGTCAAACGAGGAGCAACGTGACTAAGTGACATTTCTAAAATGCAGTCTTCCTTCCATAAGTTCTAGGAATTGAGCACATGTAGGACAGGGACAGTGAAAGGCTGTGATGATGACTATCTGTTGGGAAGGAAGTAAACAAGCTCAGCTGGTACAGTAGGTAGGCCCAAACATTGGTTGTTGCTATGTCTTTTATCTTTAAAAGATCCCAGCAACAGAATAATAATTTCCATTAAGGACAAACATGCCAACACAAAATCCCCATGTAAACCATCAGGTGTAAAACAATGCAAAAACAATCTAGCTCTATTCCCCGAAGCCTTTATATTATTGACCACCTTTATACCCTACATAAATGTACATTGGGCAAAGCAATAACATTAGCACCTGACCCTGTAGACAATTACTTTCATCATTGCGCATTACCAATAAATGATTGATAACATTAAAGGTGGGGTAGGTAATTTTGAGAAACCAGCTCGAGATACACTTTTTGTTATATTCCATGGAATGCTCTTAACATCCCGATAGCAATGAATATCTTGAAGTGCTTTGACAAAAAATCCATTAAAAAATGTCATCTGTGGAAGCCGTAATACTGTAAAAAGCACGACCAATCATTTTAGCCGGCCCGGCTAAAATAATTGGATGGCCTACCTGCCTGTCAGCCTTCCATCTGTGCACAAACTTATCTCGTGCCCTCATTGGTCATGTGCGCGTTCGTGTGTGTTGGAGGAGGGGCTCTATAAGGAAGTGGCAGATTTTCTCCGGTTGTGTATTTTCAAATTCTAGCGATCTCGAGCCGGTTTCTCAAATGTACCTACCCCACCTTTAAGGCAATCTCCCAAGGATATTTTGCTTTGCAATACATGTCTCATTATGTTTAACATCTCTGATGATGCATGTAATGTAATGCACTATAACCTGTAATGAGGTCTGATAATATGGCTAATTAATGAAATGTTTCAGCTTCACAGCAGAAGGGTTTCTGGGTTATTAGAACAAGCAATCTCTCTTGTGATTAGCCAGCAGTAGCCCGTTACATGCAGCCTCTTCACCATTGTTTGAAGGAGCCAGATAAAGACAACGGAGGCAGCTCAAACATGTGTGTTTGCATGAATGACTATGTATGTTTATATTATTTGCTTCTGATGGATTGCTATATCAAGAAGCTTGTCTGTCAGGTTTGTCTGGACATTAACGGTCAGACTAAAGATCAATCCAGGGTAGCCAGGGGTCATGTGCCAGCAGACAGGTTAGCTGTCCATAAGCTTTCAGCAGCCCATTGATTTCTGAGACTTAATTGCAGCAAGGCTTGTCTGAGGCACTTTGTTCTGTGTCTGGTGTAAAGTGAGGAGGCTGGGCAAGGTGCAAGGAGATAAACTTTGCTTTTGTATCCCTCTTACAGTCTGGAGAATGTAAGGTGTAATGTCTCACAAGATGAAGATGAGCAGGACCAAAATACTTTCTCTTTCACGTCAAGAGAACATCAACAGTGAGACCACCTATATAGTGGAATGTCACACTCTTATAACTAGAGGAAGACAAAGGGCTTTTCTCATGTGCTATAAATACGCATAAATCTGCCTATAGGACATCATCTCTGGAGGATGAGGTCTATTGTTGAAGAGAAAAAGCAGGAAAGTTCAAACTCTGTAGCAACTCCTAATTATTCAGAGGGTAAAGAGGTGGAGACATCTCACCATTTCTGATCTTAACCCTGAAAACTGTCAGGAGAGATAGATGAGACGATAGTGAAGTTTTTGTTGCAGACTGACAATAATCGACGCATTACGTGGGACAAAAAGACAGTCCGGGAAAGTGCAGAGGCCGGAGTAACCTTAAGATCATTCCTCAAAATGGCCTGGCTTTGTCTGGCTTTCTTCCCAGAGCTAACCTTGCACCCAGGTGTTCAACCGAGGTCTAAAGCGGCCAAAGGAAAACAAAGCTAAACACTTTCAAATGGGCCCGGGGATTAGCGTAACAAGCTATTACTTGTTAATATGGTGCCATTCTCCCACAGTTTGAGGGCAGTTAACCTCGGCTGTGACTGGCTTCTGTTTAAAGGGTCACAACCTCACAGAGCCCCACGCACTAAAATAGCACGTGATTATAGACCTTGTTTAAAAGTAAATATAGGAGTTTTCAGCAGCTGATCTAAGTCACCCTTTAGAAAGTCCTTTATGAGAGAGAGAGTACACCTTCATAACTCTGACCTTTTGTTTACATAACCTCATCCGCACTTACCTAACAACTACATAGTTTAACATTTTATTTTCCTAACCTCAACCTACACTTATAGATTTATGTACAAGAAGGTAAGTTAAGCACTTAGTATAGCATGGTGTTAAACTATACTATTTTTTGGAAATGCACAATGTATAGTTTGATAGCTGCATTGTAGTCTGGTGTTTTGTAAGTGTGTGTGTTTAGGTTTGCAAGTCTTTTGAAGTCTGGGTTGATGATCTATCCCTATGAGCTTTGAATAGACATTCCTTTGGTCTTAGCCTCTGTTTGCTCCCCTTATCACAGTTAATAACTCAGCTTACACAAACACACTCAGTGGCTTCTTTAGGAACCTCAAAAGACAGAATTATCAGCTTAGGTTGCTTATGGCTGTTTACTTAGTCAACCTTAAGTCATCTTGTGGTTAAATGCACTTAATAGATTTTTTTTTTCAATTTGGGAAACCTGTATAGAGCTTGAATTTTGAACAAGAATACAAATAGAATATACAAAATGAATTACAAGTGCACATAATTACCTAGTTAAGTATATTCATTGTATTGAATAACAGAAAAATAATTATCAGATAAATTTAAATAAAAATACGTACAAAAATGAAGTAGTACTAAAAAGCAAGAGCCAAATACCACATTGAAGGATGTTCTTCAGACATTAAAATGTTTACCTGATACACCATTGTGATATTACACATGATCTGATTTGTCTGGGCTTTTATGCATGAAAATCTGATAGCATTTAGCTGTGCAGAGTTCCAGGAAAACACACAACCCGTACAGAAGAGCAGTGTACGTAGAATTGAAGTTCATGGCAGATTGTCACACTTTAATGCAGAACCAATACTGTGTACAGATGTTATCCTTTTTCTTTAAAAAAAAAAAATGTGTGTGCATCTATGCATATAACCCCTTGTTTGTTTCTCTGATCAAGGGCAAATAATTGAAAAGCAAAGACAGAGTGTTGGATCATTTGTGGAAAAGTTTTGGATTTCAGCCAAAGGCAGCAACCTCTTCTCTGCAGCTTTATAAAATGCAAATAATCAGTGGGAAGTGATACTTTGTGTAACCTTTATAGATAAACATGTGAGGCTGGGTCACAGACAGAAGCACACTCAACAACGAAGTACCAAACAAATATATATATATATATATTTTAGCAGCTACAGTCGGCAGCCCACATTTGAAGCTTGTCTCTTTGTTTTGTTTAATAATCAAAGCAGCTCATTAAAATGTACTTGGATATGTTATCGGAAGCCTTTATTACAACACGTCTGTATGCCAGCACTAGACACATATCATTAAACCTAAAGCCAATTATTTGGATAAGTACACTGGCACATCCAAAATTAATAAAAACACATTATAGAGCTTTTCCCAGCAGTACAGTATCAATCAATCAATGTTTATTTATATAGCCCAATATCACACATGTTCCACTTGTCTCAGTGGACTTCACAGTTTGTACAGAATATCAGTATGACAATACGACACCCTCTGTCCTTTGACCCTCACATCGTACAAGGAAACATTTCCAGAGAAAACCCACAGTTTAAAGAGGAAAATGGGAGAAACCTCAGGGAGGGCAACAGAGGAGGGATCACTTAAAAGTAGGATGCATAACCAATACAATCAGGGGATGCAGAGCTTAGGGTGCATTTCTATTCTCCAGCTATCTGAAGTTGCTCTGCAGGGCATAAAGTAACCTCCACAACTAATTAAAAACAAAAAGGAACTCAATTAAAAGACGTAGAAAATAAATGAACTATTTTCTGCCAAGTAAATGTGGAACCAGTGGAGGGTGAAATCCAACTGGATTAGCAGCGAGAAAGTGGTGAGAGAGAAAACAAACAGCTGAGCAAAATATATAAGGAGGAGAAACTTGGCAAGTGTAGAAAATGAAGGATTTCAAAACAGTGATTTACAGAGACCTCCAGTTCCCATTCAGTGTTGCTAACTGTTCCACTCGACACAGAGGTGGGATCTGACATCTGATGACCTCATGACGGATGCTTATAAAAGTCTACTTGAGAGGCAGAAGCGCTATAAAACCTTGAGAGATTTACATGGACACGATGGCCTTGCTAGTGCTGGGCCGACAAAGCACCGGAGACTGCACCGTTGAGACCTATTTTAACGGGACAGTTCAACACACACAGGGTCTCATGTGGCACTGGCAAACATTCATAACATGCTGGATCTGATCCCCGAGTGTGTGCCCAGCCAAGTGTTAAATCTGACTTGATTTCTGAAGGGAGCCGAGGTCGCACAAAGGCCTGTTTGGGGAACAGCCAAGCGATTAAATAAAGAAATGTTCTCTGTCCTGAACGGTCAGGACAATCAGCAGCACATCTCCTCTGCCCTCTCATCACGCCTCACAATCAAACTCTCTGTTAGCCAGCGAAGGAATAAGTGCCAAGTCCTCCTGAATGTAGCTAGTGCTAGTAGTTTACCCATAACAAGACCAAGAAATAAAAGACTGTTGAAAGTAGCAACCATTAGACAGGTGATCTTGTCTGTATAAATCCAGAACTAAACAAACTGGATCACAGATGCAGCAAGCATTTTAGCACCTTACCTTTGAAGGACAGGAAGATCCTGGGAGCAGAGAGGGGCTCGTTGGGGCCGGGCAGCGCCCCGGATGATAGGGCCAGCAGGGCCATTACCCAGCACAGTTTGTCCCACAACATGGTTCCTCAGTTTTTTAACAGAGGAGAAGGAGAGCCCAGGAGCTGAGGGAGAGAGAGAAAAGCATTAGACAATGAGTCTCCCTCAAAAAATAACTGCAGCGACCAATTCTCAGCCACTGACCTTCAGTCTTAACGATTTTGACAACACAGAAAATCAAGCAGGGACTAAGAAACAAAGCGTCAAACTAGTTGTGTAGCCTCCTTCTATCTGTTTATTTAGATATTATTACAAGGAATCAAAATGCTTTGAATTTTGATTATATTATGTTAAAAAAAACAAGTAGGCCTAACTTAACCCAAATCTTTAAAACCAGAGAGTTTGGAAAGAAACTGCTGGTTCAGCATTGGTTTTCCATCATTGCTGGATTTCCTGTGGAAGCTCTCATTGTAATGTGACTCTCCTCATCGCCCACAGTTATTCTTGCATGGTCTGCCTCTGTGCTGTGAGGGCAGCAGTGTGAATGGACGGATTCTCCTTCAGCTGGGAGAGCCAGAAGGAGCCACCGCTGCTGCCCTCCCATACTTGTAATACATCGGACACAAAAAGTGTTTGCAAAAGCAGCAAATAACTAGGAAAGGATTGTTTTTCTGCTACCATTATATAACAATAACTACATTTCAGCAGTAGTACACAGAGCCTGGCGCGCACTGGCAGGGCTCAAATCACAAAGCACATACACATGCTGAGATGAGGCACAAAGGGAGATGAAGTTAATAATATCCCCATAAAAGGATCTAAAGACGCTCCAAATTATCAGCGGGAGGCCGAGGTGACAAACAAAAAGCTTGCACAGAGAATCGACTGTGCCACGTTTGGAGACAATACAACGATGTTAGCGCATAGTGCTTTGCTGTAATTATCCATGAATGGTATGATCTTCTCGTAAACGTGGATCTGAGTCTGAGGTCAAACTGTCAGTGAGGGTTTAAGATCAAGTTCCACATTGAGCCCAAAGGCATAACTCCAAAGCAGACCGTTAACCAAAATAAAGCGTGACTGGGCTTTGAGTTATGAGGACATGAATATGAACCACGTGTCATTTATAAGAGGATTTTAAGATTGTCAAAAGTAGTGTTGAGGACAAGTGACATGCATTCAATTATGGCGGATAGCAGATTATGAAGATACAGCATCACATGCAGAAACAACTTGCAATGCCCTCTTAACTCACATTGTCCACTGAACACACGCACACACACGCACACGCACTCACACACACTCACACAAATAGTGGTCTTTACTCTTGCAGCTTTTGAATTTGTAGTAGCGGTCATTTAAAACTACCTCCCAGGCGCCAAAAAAGCACGCTTAAAACAAAATGACATGCCAACTTAACTTTGATGATTGGAAATATATCTTTCCAAATATTCAGGACAAAATCATATCACAGAATTAAAAAGAAAACAAATAATTTAAATTATTAGAGCCCTAATCTTGCACAAGCAGCCTGCATCATTTATGTTGCACGAAATCTACCTGATTTATGAGCACATCTGTCTCCATAGAAAATTAATCTGACATCAAAACAGTACTTAGATTTGAACCAACCTTCTAGTTCCGTCCAGTGACTATTGGGATAAAGCTGGCCAACATTTAAAACCATCCACCCCGGATCCTTTGAGCTCCTCTGTCCGCACGCAGTGAGTATCAGTGTATCCGCCGCAGATCCTGCACGATTATCCACAGAGCCAAATAAAGCTGGGATTTAAATGAACTTGACGCAGCCGCCTTAACTTGAAGTGATCTCTAAATCGCATCAACAGATTCTGTATTTTCCACTGAATGAGGTGAGAAACAAAGAGTTGTTCCTGGAGAAGAGTGGCAGAGAACCGTCTTCCATGCACAGCCACGCTCAAGTGAGTGGAGCAGGAAAGCGGTCTCTGCAGGTGGATCCGCCGAGGTCTCCCGGCGCTGGACACACCCATGGGGGAGGGAACCTACCTTAGCATCCCAGCGCTCCGTCCCGCCCCGAAATCTAGCACAAAACAAACAGGTCAGCTGTGCATCTTCTGACTCCAGAGAGACTCCAGAGGTAAACTCTAAACTGAAATGATGAATATATTAGGGTAAAGGGCAGTTTAGAGATGTGAAATATGTCATGTTCACTTCATTAGGGGAAGACGTCCAAAATGTTCTGCTACAATCAAAACTCAAATATATTCCCTTTAAACATCTGGTTTTGAAATCTTAGTTTAATTACTTTAAAGGGATTTTGCAACTGATATTAAGTGTCTTAGTGTTACCCACTGACTAATAATTATCATATCGCATCTCCCATTTATACATAATTTGTTTTTCTTTTCTTTTTCCTATTCACTGTGGGGACACAATTGGTTTTTAATGACTCTTGCATTATAGTTTTCCAGCTGAATGTCGCTGTACATTTGAATTTGATTCATAGTGAGGAAATGACATACTTAAATGAAACCCAAAGCCTTTTTGCAGAATATGCAGTTTATTTTCATTGCTATTAGCAAATATCTCTGTTACCTAAAGGTAGACATATTAAGATCAAGATTAAGATAAAGATAGATTGTGTTAAAATAAGCAACGGCAATGTTTTTGTATAGCTCTCAAACAGTGAAAGGTTAAAATATCTCTATAATGACTTTATAGCTGAATAAACAGTGTAAAATACACGTGCGCACTGTGGTACAAGATACATGGCAAACACAATATGTCTGATAGAAGACAATATTTTGCTGTGACAAATTCAGTTATTCAACATTTGTGTCCAAACTTCCTGCAAAGGGTCTTAAATACTCAACTCAGCTTTTTTAATACTATGGCTGATGCTTTTTCAAAATGCAAAGCTATTGTTTTACATGTCAAGAGGAAGCTGGAGTATGAAAATAAGAAGGAGGTTATTCTACAACTTCATTATCCTGACTGCCAGCTACTGATTTTTATTTGCTGACTGGTGCCAACATCGAGTTGTGCTGAGAAGCGTTCTGATGCCAGATCTGAGCCAAACAATTGTTCAGTATCTGCTGGTATTGGCAGTCGCACAGTATGGAAAAGTGTTTGCTTTTTGAATAAGGCATGAATCACTTTTTTCTCAAGAGGAGAATAAAGAATTACTAAGCCAACCATGATTTCAGATGAGAAGAAACATTTTCATATGATGCAAACAACTGCTGTGGGACTTTTTGGTACCACAGAAATGTGGCTGCACGTCTCACATAAGAAACATTTGAAAAGTGGCCAAACGGAGATAAGGTAGATTTATTCTAACACCTCGACGACCTGACAGAGGATCACTAGCTCTCGCCATCAGATATTCATGGGCAAATGGAGCCTTAAATCTTTTAATCTCACTCGATCCCTCGCCTGATCACACTGGCTTATTTTGCTTCTTATTCAGTCAATGCACAACGCAGCTGATGCCCAATATGCATGCTTATTATTCCATATATGATAAATACAGTACCGTAGGTCTCATGCATGTCTTTGAGACGTTATTGTTGCAGAAACATCTAAAATCAGAAAGGAATTTGGAGGATACAATGACTTTCTTTCATTGAATAATGGCTGTGAAGCTGATATACTGTTTCCTTTGTGTGTGTGAAGGATAATGTTACAGTGACAAACCATAAAACCTGCACAACTGCAAAACTGACTGGGTGGCAATTTCACTGAAACGTACTTGTGAACGCGATATGGAAAAACCTATTTGGTGGTGAATAACTTTATTTAGTCAAAAATATGAAAAGTTTCATTTATCAGCCTTTGAGTTGAGGAGAATACATTAGATAATTATAACAAAAAGGCACGTTCATGCTATAGGGGGACAAAACATTGCCGGATCCCTGGCTGTGACTTTGAGTTTTCTGTCCTTTGAAAGATGTCTTGAAGACAATCATTTCATTAGTTTATGCAAAATAGGCTTTGCAGCATGACTCCGGGCTTTGATGCTCATAGCAGAGACATGAAGAGAGCTCAGCATCAGCATTTGCTATTAAAAGTGTTAAATTTCCCTTGATACCAGTAAAAGGCTCTTGGAAACAATTACCCTCACGCTGACGAGCTCACGCACACAGGATGGAAGACATTGATATGTTTCAGTCCATCTGAATATCAGACAATAAAAAAACAATCATCAAATCCTTTTTACGCAGGTGGGCGTTTGTGTTTGAAGTGTGGTCTGACTGTAAAGAAGCCAAATAAATAACAACTTTCATAAATATCCGCGACACAACTCCCAAGGACTCAACAACAATAAATCAGTCAAACAATAAAAACTCTTTCCCCAAACTTCCACTATCAGCACTTAAAACAATCCTCAATCAAAATTTGTGTGGAGCAGCCAAGTTTAATTGTTTCATTACCAATATTATTTTTGTTTCCCAGCTCTAACTATTCCTATTTCTCTCTTTCTTGTAGCCAACAGCTGCATGTTGTTTCCTATATTTATTTTTAATCAACAATATTATTCCCATCTTCAGGCCTCTGGTGGCCTCACCATCTGTCACGTGCGTGAGACAAGAGGAAAGCAATTATTGAATCCTGGCTTTGAGGAGTGCCTGCCTTCATAAAAGTCCCTCATGCTTTCCAGTTTTTCCTCTATAGGCTTGCTTTCTCTAGCAGCTATCTGTGGGATACAATGTGAAGGATAAAGTTGAATCCATATATCATCTTTAGGTGCCAGACCACATTCAGAGAAGTTCTGCGAAAATGACGTTGAGGGGTTTTTGTTCTGCTGAGAACATGCCAGGTTTACAAATCTTGGTTTTAACACTGCTGATGGGAGACTATTGTTCTTTCTCTTCAGAAGTCTTATGATCATTACAGATATTACATCACTTCTCTTTGAATGCTTCACTTTTATCATCCAGACTGAATATGTCAGTTTTAACAAAACTGTTTGAGTTGATCTATTTAAAATATTGTCATTTTCTTAGAGGATATACAGTAAAGGCAATGCTGCATAGATTATTGTTTTCATTCTAGCCAAGTTCTCTGAGGAGGTCTCATAAGCATCACTTTGGAAATAATGCACTTATTTGTAGTTACTGTAGAAGACGCTGGTGGGTTGAATGGAAGCAGGTGCCGGTGGGGAATACAAATCCAGGCAGTATAAGAGCAGAGGTCACTCTCTCATGTGAGTTTCATTACATTCATTGAATTTTCCTCCAACCTTTTGCCATCAATGACTCCACCAGCCACGGAAAGTAATTATTAACAGACTGTGACAACCCTAACCTCTGCTGGCTCCACCACATGATGGGGAGGCAATTAACAGCTGTTCATTACTGATGAGGTGAAGAAACAAGTGCACATCTGCATGTACACACACATCTTGATTACACGGGCAGATGTGACTGCACACAACTGACCATGCACATAACCAACACACACACACACAGCTAAGGATGCCGTGACACACAGAATGGCCCTCAGTGCACTCCGAGGGACACATCGTTTGTGTAGAATTTAATGAGGGAACATGTACTCATCTCCCCCTCACCGGGAGAGCTGTTACCTTTTGGTGTGATAAGATATTAAACATTCACACAGTTTCTGCTGCGCTTTGACTAGTAAGGCAGCATGCTCATTAGCATTTAAATGGGAAAAGATAACGCCACACTTTGCAGTCATACCTCCCTCACAAAGCTGGCAGACAGGAGAAAACTTGAATCAGGCCCTGAAAACTTTGGCTGTTTATCATCTTATAGTGTTGCCTGTTTTATTTAGTTTTTACACCTTATATATACTATAACTGTCGGTGTGACTAACTTTAAATATCTATTTTATACAAACAAGAAATGTTTTTTAAGGGAAGACCGGTGGACAAGCTCTAAAAATACCACATCACATTTGAGTTATGAACAGTGATTTAATAGGGATTTAGGAACTGTTTCATATATATAGCTCGGTAGCAAAATAATACAAAGTTAATTGATGCAAAACTCATAGACAATGAGTTTACGCTCTTGTTGCTGGAGCAAACAATTGTATTGTTTGCTGGTGAATATGTAATCAGCCCAACATGCTATTTAGCGAATATACTGTTCTTCCCCTGATTACTCACACATGACATGCGTTTTGATCTGCACTCTTAAGATTAATGACACTCTTTTCTTCATGCATATTCTTCTCATCCAGATCTCCCCGTGTTCTGCTTGATTGTAATTTTTCTGTTCGTATTTATCTCTCGGTCTCTTGTCACAGAAGCTGACAGTGACTCAGCTGGAGCTTTGCGAGGCTAAAAATGGGACAGCTGCCTCTTTTTTAAAATGACACAAGTTTGTCTCATTGTATCTGGCTCACGTGTCTCCTGCCTGGGAAACAGAGGGAGGAGGGCAGCTGTGGTGGGATGATTTGGTATGAATTAAAGCTGTTTCTTAACAGGCTCCACAGGGTCTGATCCTATCCCCTGCTTGGCTGGGGGATTCTCACCACCATTATCAACCAGAGAACAGCATTTATTACTTTACATCAGTTGTTTCCCCCTTTGTCTTTTTGCTATTCACAATAAAACATACTGCAAACAATAACAATGGTTTTATATTTAGCATGACATTGTGGTTGAAGGTGCCCCAGCCATGCTACCTGTGGTTGGTTGAGGGGGTTTGTGTAATAGCTTTCCCATGCAGTGTGTTGGCGTGGGCCTCCTGAGGGTCCGGGCTGTCAGTGTCCTTCTTCATCGGCATCCAGCCGCAGGTCTCTGGCTAGAAGGAGAGACTGCAGACAGCAAGAGGAAATGACTGTGCTTTTTGTTCTACGCTGCACTCAAAAGTGGTTAGCTTTTGTAGTGGAACTCAATTTAATGTATTCTGTGGTCTGATAGGGGAATACATGGGACTTTTGTGTTTTGGCCGTGGCCTGGTTGGTTCTTTAAAGGGAGTGAAAACATTCTTAATAGTTTCTTGCTTATTTGAC